TTCTCCTCAGAAACCTCTTGAGCCAAGCTCCCACAGTTCAACTCACCCTCAGCACCACTGTCTTCCATGTTCCTATTGGTTGGCCCATTAAGCCCATTTAAATTATCCAATCACTCTTCTAGTCCCAAGTCCCAAAGTGTTCCTCCAAAGAAAAGCATGGTTGGTTAGGCCTATCATAGCAATGTCCCAGGCCCTGGTACCAACTTCTGTTTTTCTTATTATGAAGAAAAACTTCTGTTTTTCTTATTATGAAGAGTTGCCCATGACCAGGGCAACTCTAATTAAAAACACAAAAGCATTTAATTGGGGCATGTTTATATTTCAGAGGGCTAGTCCATCGTCATCATGCAGGGAAGCATTGCAACACTCAGGCAGACAGGATGCTGCAGAGGTAGCTGACCTGAGAGTTCTCCACCTGGACAGGCAGGCAGCAGAAAGACAGAGTGACACTGGGTGCAGCTTGAGCTTGAGCCCACCCCCAGTAATAGACTTCTTCCAACAAGGCCAAACCTACTACTCCAAGGCCACACCTTCAATAATGCTATTCCCTACAAGCCTATAGGGGCCATTTTCATTCAAACTACCATAGCATATACGTTTCCTTTCCTCTCATGACTGTACAGTGAGAATTTTTCAAGATAGGTATTGTTGGCTACTCTTAGTTGTCAACTTGACTATATCTGGAATTAAGTGAAACCTAAGCACCTGGGTTTACCTGTGCGGAATTTTTTCTTAAATACATCATTCAAGTTTCAAGATCCACTTTCATTTAATCTGTATCTTTTGAGCTGGCAAAATCCACCTTCAATCTGGGCTCTACCTTCTGGTAACAGTTTATATAAACAACAGCGAGGAAGAAAGCTCTTCCTCTTTGTCTGTTTGCCCTCACTTTTGCTGCTAAGTCCATTCCTTCACTGGCATTAGATCATAGGTTGGGATTCTGGCATTTACTAAGGATCAACTGAGACACCCAGCCTCATAGATTGAACAACTATTGTATTCTTGGATCTTTCATTTGTAAACAGCCATTGTTGGACTAGCTGAACTACAGCCTGTTAGAAATTTTAATAAATTACCTTTGTGTGTGTGTGCGCGTGTGCACGTGTGCAAATACATTATATAAGTTCTGTTCCTGTAGAGAATTCTGAGTAATACACTAAGTTTTAACTCAGAGATATTCATAGAAAGATTGAGACAGTCTTGTGTAGCCCAGATTGGCTTTAAACTCAATATGTAGCTAAGGCTGAGCTTTTAACTTCTGATCCTCCCAAGTGAGGAGAACCAATGTTATCCTCCTTATGAGGGATAACTTATCTTCCATCTATTGTTTTCAGTCATCAGCCAGGGTTTTTGATCTTTAAAAAAAAAAAAAAATCCTTCTCACAGGCCTTCCTTTCAAGAATGTTTTCTAACAGTTTCCTCTGAGATTGAAACATTCCATCTTGTGGGAAAGCTTCTTAAGCAGGAAAGTAAACAACTCAAGACAGCTTCAGGAGGTCCCTGAAACTGACCAGATTCCCTCTGTCCTTCCCTGTCAGACTAAGCAATAAAAGCAGAGAGTTCCTCTCAGTTAAAGTGAAGCCAAGTTGCCTTAAAAGACTCAGTCAAGCTGACCCACAGAGAAGATGGTTAGAGGGAAAAAAGCTGCAAAGGAGACTGAGACTAGCCTGGCCGCCTAGTGGAAGCAGAAGCTAGCTAAGCTACCTAGAAGAGGCATAGGCCAACTGAGGCACCTAGAAAGACCACTCTCTAACCTGTTGAGCTGCCTCTAGGCTGTGCAGTGTGCTCCAGGTTCCCAAATTTGTATCACCCATCACCCATGCTTGCGGTGGGCTTTGGTGATGCAGCTTTCGGAGTCATTTCTGCTCCTCTCAGTCATCCCGATAGAACTCCACTGGTTCACCAGATTGTTCTTTGGTGGTGTCTGTTGTGGCTTCCCTAATTGGGGGTCAACAGATGTGTGATGCCACCCCCGGGGGAAAAGTTTGGTCACACAACAAATTTCTTAAGTGAAACTTTAAGGTTTCTTTCATTTCCCTGTTCCACAAACATCTGCAGACTGCCTTCTGTGGTCTGAGGTATACCTTCGGAAGCCCTCTTGGTCTGTGCAACCTGTTAATCACCACTGTCAGTTTTCCTGGGCTTAGATTGCCTATTAGTAAAGCAACCTGTGAATGTGTTAACAAGGACAGTTCTAGAAGGATTAATTGATGTGGAAAGACCACCCCAAGGGTGAGCAGCACCCGGCTGAAGGCTCATATGAAATAAAAGTGGAAGAAAGCAGAAACCCCGCCCAGTGCTGGCACACGCCTTTTCTCATTTTCCTGGCCAATGGCATGGACTGCTGTTTCCCATCAGACCTTCCATGAGATGATTCACACCTAAAACTGTGACCTGAAATGCACCCCGACAACCCCCCCCCCGTTTTTGTCAAGTATGTTGATCACAGCAATGAAAAGCTAACTGAAACAGGTTTGCCAGCCTTTGTCCACCCAACAATCTACTGGGACCAAGAAGAAAGGCCCCAGTATCTCTCTGTGCTGTCTGCAAAGCCTTCCTGAAGTGATAATACCTGAGAATGTGTACTGAAAGATGATTGGATGGAGTAAGAGGCAAGATTTCCAAACAGGGAAATTGAGCAACATGGGCAGACTTGAAAACTTTTCAGAGGGATTGGGTAGGAGCCATTTTCCACCATTATGAAAAAAAGCTTCTATTTTGCTGATAAATTGTGGGGTTACAAGACTGTAACATGGACAGTAATAAATAACATTAAGTATAGTCTTGGTTCTGAAAGGTGCTGAACATATTTTAGTGACTTAACCCCAAAATAGATTATTAATGCTTTGGGGGATTCTGTTGTTAAATTCTGAGGCTCTCCAAGGAGCTGTGCTCAGGAGATGTGCTTTTAGCATCCTTCAACTTTGTTTCACGTCCATCTTAGGACATCTCTGTAGGGTTACAACAGCAGGCTACACTGTGGAGACTCGGGCACTCTGTGACAGGAGTCAACCAGGAAATGAAACATTTCACTTGTTCAAGTAAGCCATTTGGATAGGCTCAATTTCAGTGCGCGGAAATTCTGACCCTGCCCTATGCCCAAGAACAAAAGGATGACAAGGAAACCTGCTGTCATGAAAATTGCTCTCAGCAGTTATGAAATGTTGTGAAAATGTCTTATGTTTCAGATCAGCCTAACTGGGATTCAGAATATTACTTGTGTGCCATATATCAAGGTTGAAACTAATTAGTGCTTGAACCTGTGACTCAAACTTATAAACTTTAAGTAGTTTCAATGTTACTCACTCTTTACAGCCTATCTATGCAACAGCTGTAAATCTATTCATTTACAATAAGAAAGGATTCATAAACTTGTCGAACCTGTGTTATTAAGGTCTAAAATCCAGATCCATTCCAATCAATTGCCTCACTATTAGTCAAAATTCTTAAAAGCAACTTTTAATTACTAATACGGTAATTGCAGAAGCCGCCACAATCCCCGCCTCCGTTTCATGGTCAAAGATGTAATGGAACTATATTCTGTGCCACGAGGGAGACTAAAGACTGCCCATAACAAACAACATGTTAACTACTGGTAGTTAGTACTTTTTGTTTCAGAAGTCCTTGGAGGCGATTGCAATGAATGGGCAACTGAAGAACCATTAATTAAGCAAGGTTATAAACACCAGCTTAACTTTAATGTGTGCCAATAATCTGAATCCTTTCTGTTATCCTATACCGTGCTGTTATCGCTACCACAGATTTGTCACCCGAGGTATGCGGTTATTATTATTTTGTAATTTAACATTATTTCCTGACCTAAGCTTTTGGACTCATCAATATGACTTACTTTAATAAACTGGCAAGCGTCTAAGAATGAAGAGAGACCACGCAAACGCACCTGTTTGTCAGGTGGGAAGCTTCCTCCGAGTACCAACCCTGCAGGAACCGAAAGTACAAACAAGCTAGCACTGTCTGCGATTCCTTTATTCCCGTGAAACTCCCAGAAGGCGACTAAATCTACGCTGTTCTTTCTTAGCCTATAGACTGTCATCTTGAGAACGTCCAGTCCTCAAATCGCAGCTGTTGGGTGTTTACATCAAGAGAAGCATGCCTGGGAAGACAGGACGAGCTTAAACCTGCCACCGATTAGAAAGATCACAACGTCAGAGGTGCCATTTACAGGCTAAGCAACCGCAGGGGTCAGTAAGATTAAAAAAAAAAAAAAATCCTGCACTTGGAAGGTCAAACTGCAGGTGGTCAATCAGCAGGAGCTGGTCCGAGAGCTCTCTGCACTTCCGCGCCGGCCAGGTATCCTCCCTGTCCGCCCACTGTCCCTTAGGGGTTCGCGGGGTTTCCCAAAGCTGGCTGTGGGGACTACAAAGAGCCGCCTAGAGGTTTCCTCTCCTCCGGCCTCCCCAGCGGTACTCAACGCCCCATGTCCCAGCGGGGGAAAGGAGGGGGGAAAGGAAATTCCTCCTCGCTCGGCGTCCCCTCTCCGGCTCGCTGCCCCGCTCGCTCCGATGCCGACCTCGTCATCCTCAGTTGTGCAGGGAGAGGTGGCCAAGGAGGCTGCGAGCTCGGGGCTCCCGGCAGGGCCATGGGGCAGGGTGAGCGGGGGCGCTCGCCAACGGTGCGGGGGGCGGGGAGGAGCGGAGCTCAGGGCGGAGTGCGCGGGGACAGGACGGCCAGGGTCCCCCTAGAGCCTGCAGTGGCTTGGGAAAGCGGGGGGCGCTGTGGCCCGCCGCTCCCCGGGAAAAGTTTGCCCAGGCTTCAGTTGGTGCGCAGCGGGGCCGCGGGAGCCCGAGCACCGCGGGCGTGGCGACCGTCCAGCGCTCGCTCGCTCGCTCCGCTCCTCCTCCTCCGCAGCCGGGGCCCGGAGCGCGCCTCCCCTTGGCCGCCGACTGGCTGCGGGCTGCGGCCGGGGCGGGGACCTGTAGCCGTCGTCGCGGCGGCGCCCTCGGGGCGGGGGACCGGCCCGCAGGTGGAAGCGCCCCGGGGAGGTGGGTCCGCCCCCCGGCTGCCGTGGGTCGAGGCGGGCCCTCGGCCGGCCCGTTCCCGCCCCGACCCGCCGGCCTCTCCCTCCCCAGCAGTGACGCGCCGCCTCCGAGCCCGAGCCCGCGCCGCGGTCAGCAGCGCGATGGACCGCAGCGCCCCGGATCCCGGACCCCGCAGCGCGCCTCGCACCCCCACCACGCAGCCCGCGGGCTCCGCAGGGTAAGCAGGGTGGCCGCCCCCCCTACCCCCGGCCGCCGAGGCCTCTCCCGCGCGCGCGTCACCTGCCCGCAGCGCGCTCCCCGCGGGCCGCCTGGCTCCCCGTGGGGCAAGCCCCCACGCGGCGGGAGACTGTGTCCTCCACGGCGCCCCGGGAGTAGGGGGATCGGTGTTTGGGGGGCAGGTTTTCCGACCCGGGTTGCGGAAGGCCAGGCGAATGCCAGGCGTTGGGTGAGGAGTCCCGGAGCAAATGTGCTAACAAAGGGCCCCTTGTTGGGGCTCTGGAGCGACAGGGGACACCTGTAAGTGCGCTCCGGGGAAAGGAAGGAAAAGTTTCCTCGGCCAAGCGCTCGGGCCCCGGGCGGACCAGTACTGTCAAGGTGACTGCAAGGAAGGGGCTTTCGGAAAGCTCACGGAGGGCGCCGCAAGGTGTGCCAGCTGTCAGCCTGGCTTGACAGTTCCGGGAGCAGGCGGGGTGCTCGCCTCTGGCTGGGGGTGTGTGTATGTGTGCGTGCCTCTGGCCAATTGGCGATGCCAAAACCGAGCATGAAGTCGCATTGGCAAACAGCTGTACTTTTTTTTTTTTTTTTTTTTTTTTTTTACCATCACGTGTTTGAGGAGCGATTGGAGGGGAAGGGGCTGTCACATGGTGAGTTAATATTTAATGAAGCATGCCTTCCTGCCAAATACGCTGAAAAATCGTATTGTTCAACTTGTGGGTAAACAGTAGTGAGAACAGGTAGTCCTGCAAGGGCTGAGGAGAAGTTGAGAATATAACCTTCATAGTGGTAAACCCTGTCCTAGTTGAGGACGCCCCATTGCTGTCCTGTAGCCTCTATCCCATAAGGCACCCCCCCCAATTCTTTTTTCTTTGTTAATCAGAACCCAGAAATGCCCTAAACAGAGCACGAACATTCCGGAAATAGGAACGTTAAGGAACAGTTGACTTTGTAAGCAATGAATGAAAGTCGTTCAGTTTTTTTTTTTTGTTTTTTGTTTTTCCTGGTTTAAAAGTGAAGAAGTCATTTTCCCCTGGAACATGACAGGCGTTTCCTTAGGAGCAAGTCACAGCATGTTTATTCATCAGAGGCCATCGGAGCATTGGCAGTTGTCTAGAGGAAACATGGAAGAGTCTCAAGGCAATATGACTAATCTAGCAGATATTTAGTGTAATGCTTACGTAGAGGAAACATGCAGTGTATGAATTCGTCCTTTTTTTCCCTCCAAATTTCAACCTTCTTCTATTGCTGTAGAGTTACACTTTCTTTTGCTCCAGTTTCCCACAGTTTCGATCCTGATGTTCATCCTTCCATATATTCTTGCATTAGGCTGTACAAAATAGTAACTGTATTGGTAGGATGAACATGAAACAAGGCCTGGAAACAGCGGCAGATTTATGTAAGTTAATGATGAACCAAGTTTCACAAGACTGACTTTGACTCTGACAAAGTAGCAGGGAATTACATTGGAGCATTTGGTAACAGATTATTTCTCCATAAATACCAGTTTATACAGAATACACTCACAGATCTCATGAATCAGTCCTTTTAAATAAAATGGGTGAGTTCAGATAGCCCTTCGAGAAAGAAATACAAAGAGCTTTCTAGTGGCAAGCTTAGACCACCCCAGGGTGGGGTGGTATGCTTGAGAACTCCGAAGGCTAGTGAAATAGTTTGCTGTTTCTATTTCTTTTTCCTTCCTTCCCCCTCCCTCTCCTTTCTTTCTTCCTTCCCACCTTCCTTCCTCCTTTCCTTCCTTCAGGCATATTTTGCCCTGGCTGTTCTGGAACTCCCTTTATAGTTGAGGGTGCCCTCCTGCCTCTGCCTCCCAAACACCGAGATTGCGGGCGTACACTACCATACCCCACAGAAGAAAATATTTTGAAGAACCTTTGCCCTTTGCCTTCCAAACTTAAGGAAAGACATCTGGATAACTGCACGACCACAGGAGCAGCAATAAAACCTAACAGTATCCTGTAAAAAATGAGTTCCTAATGGCCTGCCTCCTCCCAAGTGCTTGTTATCTCCTTTGAGTATTCGGGATTAAACTTTGCTTTTTCAAAAAGAAAAAAAAAAAGATACAGACTTTAAAGAGGTTTAAATTGTGGGAAAATAAGAGTATTTAGTAGGTGGCAGGGTGCAATCTTAGTATGATATAATTGCTGGTTTTGAAGGAAGGCTCCTTACTATAGAACTAATTATATCATGACTCAATAGCCTAATAGCTGGTGAGGCCTACTTTAGTTCTTATCCTTGGGTATTGTTGTTCAAAAGAAGCCCTCTGTTGTCTGTAATTTTCCAAAGGTTTCGCTGTTGTAACAGGTTATTTGAAAGACAAATCAATGCTGCAACATTTTACAAAGGGGACCAGAGGAATCCCTCTGCTCAACTTCCTGAGCCAATTAGTAAAACCTGAGGTTTGACAGGCCTGTTCACTATGTTCATTGATTTGAATAGTCTCTGAAGTTTGGTAAGATAGAAAAATCTACATTTTAACAAATTACTGGTGTTGAATCTTTAACCCAGAGCTAGAGTTTATAAGCTGGTTTTCTCATGGAGGTTTCTAGTTTGGAAACTTGGGCCCCTACTTAATGGAATTGGAGGGGGTGCCTTTAAGAGGTGGCAAGGTCATTAAGGGGAATTAACGGGAGTGGGCTGGCTGTGGGTAAATACTGTTGTAAAGTGAGCCTGGCTTTCTTGGCTTGCCTTCTGTGCCATTTCTTATGGTCTCCTGCTGTGCTACCTGTACTGTGTGGGGGCAGCTAGAGAGCCCTCACCTGATGAACACAGGACTGCCTGAGTTCAGGCTTTTAGCCTCTACAGCTGGAGCTAAACACGCCTCTTTTCTTCCTGAAGTGCCTACTCCCAGGTATTATTTTATTGTAACATAAGATGGACTTACAGTACAGTAATGGTAAAATTGGTTAGCTTCCTCTTCCAGTTTGCATTGTCTTTATTATTAATCAGCACACTCAAGGAACAACATTATTTTAGGAAAACATTGTTTTTTGGCTTCTTGGCTACTACTTTTGCTTTGAAACATTATAAATAATTGTGATATTGAATATCTAAATAAACACTGATGGTTTAAAATTTTCCTGTCTTCATATATTTAACTCACATTTAGCAAGAGATGGAACTATCTGCATAGGAGTTGCGGCTGCTTTATGGACACCTGCTCAAAGAACCCTGGCCCTCCAGGGGTCTCTGCTCCTTTGATCACACCCCATGGATTTTACCCTGGGGTCTGGGTCACTGCCTCAACTCCTCATCATTGTATTAGTTTCTCCTTCTCAATGTTGTGTCTAAGTATCCACTGGCCATTTGTTGGATGTCTTGTAGGCTTGGCATTTGACTTTAAAAATGCTGCTGAGTTTAGATTTCAAAGCCACTGAATTTCAACAGCTTTGATTTTACTTTGAGATTAAATGTTTGTTTATTTATTTTTCCCGTGAGTTGGTTTGTTTTGAGAGAGCCCTACAAAGTGGAGGCCAACATTGAGCTCTGGATTTTCCTGCTTCAACCTCTTGAAAATGCTGCCTTTATGTGTACGATGATAATTCAAATTAATTCAAATTTGAAACTTGAAATTTCAAATATGAATTCAAATTAATTCAGGCTGGGTTAAAGTTTGCGTGTTATGTATATGTCACACACACGCATACACACAGTGCAATTGATTTGAACAGGTTGGCATTTGTTCCAGCTGGCCAACGTAATAAAGAATGAAATTGTAATAATTGAACCTTGAGGCTAATTAATGGTTTAAACTGTAAATAACTAACTAGTTAGACCTTAACCAATTGCCTGCTGATTGACTAAGCTGTGACCATTAGAGTTGTTTTCTGTTAAGTGGTGTGTGGTCATCTGGTCGTGAGTACTTTCAGAACCTGCTCTGATGGTGGTAACTGTCCAGTTCGCAAATCTCTGCTCAAATTAACTATAGTATTTTGAATTCATCTAAATAATTTTCCATCTGAATATTCATCGATATCACATAATATGTATCCACATGTATGCATGTTACCTGACGTCTGTTATCTATTGGTATCTACCATATAGGCTTTCATCTAGATGAAAGGCAGCTGGTTTAAATTGTATCATGGCATGTGAAGATTATAATCACTTACTAGTTTCCTTGGTTGGAAATGCTGGGTTGGTTAATGTGTCTTTGAAGAGAAGAGCACTGTTGGGACACTAGTTGAAGAGCTAAAGGTTTTAGAGGCAAGAGTAGTAACCAAACATGATTTTCCTTTCTACTGTTGATATCCAGTGTTAGTAGTCAGAGTTTCTTGTGGTCAATGATGGCCCCAAAATTTTACTTAGACTATTCCAGAGGGGAACGGTTTGAGAATGTTGTCACATTTCTTTCACAGTAACATGATGATGTTTTGTGCAGTCTGGGTTCAGTCCATCTTATCCAACCCAAGCGATGACATCATTTAGTATGAGGTGCTGTGTCTACCCATACGGTGTCAGTTGCCTACTGTTCAGTCAGTCACCTGGTTGCCATCTTGAATATCATGTCAGCCAACTCAAGCCACAGTATTTTAGTGTCAAGAAACCATTATTTGCTGGGTATCTCATGCCTGTAATTCCAGGACTTGGGAATTTGAGGTAGGACCATTGTCATGAGTTCCAGCCATCCAGGGCTACAGAGTGAGACCTGGTCTCAAATATAATAAATAATGAAACCAGAAAGAAGCCCTCATTTTACTTAATAATGGTCCCAATGTCCCAAGGTTTGTGATTCTGGAAATTCAGATATGCCGGAAAGAAATCAAGTGCTTCCTTGAATTGAAAGTACAAGATGATTTGAAAGAGACACATTCACTTCACATAATCTTCTAGTTGTTGTTTCTAGCATCTCAGTGTTCCTAGTTTATAAATTAAACTATTTGAGGTAGGAGGGTGTATAGGGAAACATAGTATGGATAGGGTTCATTACCAGCTGTGGTTTCAGGCATGTGTGGGATTCTTGGAACACGATCCCCACGAAGAAGA